GTCAGACTGTGTGCTTGTAGCGAAAATGCACAGACAGGCTACTTTTTCACAACCATGCGAGAGAGGGCTTCTCCTTCTGTTCCGCCGCCCGCATTTCTCGCAACGCAGGTTTCTCTACTCTGCGGAGCGGCGCGTTCTTAAGTAGTTACCAAATAGCCTATGCTCAATTTCTCGTCAATGTCTTCCATTTATCACTTTCTCTTTTGTATCTGGCCATTTTTGCAAATGCCTCTGCCATGCCTGGCTGAGCTGGGCTTCTGCGTTTAGAAGACAGGAGTTGATTAAGCCTACATGGCTTTTTTTTTCCTCACCGTCAATCGCCACTAGCTTGCATGGTTCGGGACCCGTGGATCTGCGTATCGATGGATTTGCTCCTCAGTGTTTGGACTCTCAGCACTCAGCAGTAAATATTATTACACACTTTACTTAAAACCCCCATACAAAAAGCTTAATCAAAATTGATTCGTTCACCTTTCTCGGTCGGCACGAATCCAAAATGTTCCCAGATGTAAGAGTTCGTTTTCTAACAAGATTCATGGTTGAACTTGAACTTGCTGAATCGCGCCTAATGTTATATTCTAAAGCAGGTCGCACACCAGAAGCGCCGCTCGGCGGCGCGCCGCGCAGCGCCACGCAGCGCCATGTATTTTAGAATTCTAAACATAGGTTTCTATCAGGATACACACACCGGCGCCGCAAGTCGGCGGCTGTCGGCGGCGCCCGGCGACGGCTCAGGACGCAGTTCATTTTTCAGCCGCGCCACAGAGCGCCATCTGATTAGTTTCATGTTAAATATCATTCGAATGTGCGCGTCTGGTGTGTGATACTTTAATCTGTCATGTACGCGCCGTGTCGCGGCGCCGAGCGGCGCTTCTGGTGTGCGACCTGCTTAAACTGTCATGTACGCGCCGTGTCGCGGCGCCGAGCGGCGCTTCTGGTGTGCGACCTGCTTAACAGATATGTAATACTTGGCAACATAACAGTAATTTGTGTTTTAAAGTGCGTGACTTCACGTACTACGGCCGGTGGCAATGGACAACCGAGGTGGCAATGACCACCGCGGTGACGCGGTTGTCATGGTGACCGTCACAGCCCTAGTTTTAAGTAAATAAATATATATATATATATATATATATATATATATATATATATATATATATATATATATATATATATATATAAAATATCGCAATATATATCGCTGGGGAAAAAAATATCGCAATGTCAATTTTTTCCAATATCGTGCAGCCCTAATGAGGACTAACAAAGCCAGAAACAACTAACTAATGCTGAGATGACATTGATATTTGTGTGCAATAATTCCAAAATTAATGTCTAATAATAACAGAATATTAATGATGATGAAAATGACAATAATAGTGACAATGAATTACATTAAAATTAATTAATTACTATTAATAATTAATTATATTAATATTAAATCATTTTGGACAATGGAATGAAATTTAAGAGTTTAAAATGCATAAAACACTGATCAAACCTTGATTCTTTCTCAAAAAGATACAAAAATAAAAACGAGCTGCGATCTATATATTTTAAAAATTATGGCTTGCTAATACGCAAATAAAGTTACAAATTTACAGTACATTAATAAATAGTTATTTTTATCTTATCAAAATTTTACAGCCAAATATTTTTTTTCATAGTTCAGTAATAGTTTACAATAATTTTAGTCCATCAGTTCACACATTTACCAATACTAAGTATGAATAGTTCTGTGAATTGATCATAGTTTAACATAGTTAACATTTATTAATGCTTTAACAAAATCCGATGTTGTGCTTGTTAACATTAATGCAGAGATTTAACATGAACTAACATTGTTTAACTTAAAGTTAACAAAGACAGATGAATACCGTAATGAATGTATTACTAAAGGCATTAATCAACCTTTATCTTGAAATTATCCCAATTACTTTCAAGAGTTACCCATAATTTAACACATTTTCACACAATTTTACGGTTACCCACATGAAAAATACTACAGTAATTTATAGTTAATACTGTAGTGTTTTTGAACCATCCTATAATAAAGTGTATTGTACAACTGTGTTACTGAATGCTGCAGCAGTAACTGTGGTGAAATGAGAAAATGCTCTGCATACTGTAGTAAACATGAGTTTTTACTGCAGTAAACTGTGCTGTGCTGTAATATAGTTGTTGTAAATGTAGTACAGTGTTGGTGTTTTGTATTAATACTACACTATTTACTATAAATGACTACAGTATTTGTCCATGAGGGTGAAATGAGTGAACACAGCATTTCATTTGCCGCTAATAAAGATCAGACAAATCCTGAAGTATAAGAATGTGTGAAAGTAAACAGGAATCATAACCTGTGCTTTTACCGCGAGAAGCTTTTACATCGAGAGCTTTAATAAAGAGGTTAGTGGCCAAAACCAAGCAAAAACAAAGCTGAAAACCGACACTGAAGAGGAACACAGCCGAGAGAAAAACACTTGAATATTGAGAAAGTACCCAACAAACACACAACGTTGCCTCAACGTAGCGACCTTCCTACAACGTTGTACCAACCTTGCAAAAAGGTTGAGGATTCTACGTTGTTGCTAAACGTTGTCACAACGATGTCATAAGGTTGCCATTTAAACATCACGAGGGCCGCATACTTTAGGTTGTGCTTAGGTGGCGTGGACAACCACTGTACAACATTTACTGGTCACAGCTGAATCAGTTTAAATTTCAACAAGCCGTCGTCTCATTCATCAACAACTGAGGAGACGTGAGTATTGTTTTATTTCTTCTTGCTAAATAAGATACGTAAATCGTGAATATTCAAACAAACCTACGATTTCGACAACAATCTTTTCCAACATTACACACTCACAAAAGCCGTAAAGTTGTTACATTTCAGCATTCCGTTCACGGACGGCGACAACATTAAAATCATTAAATCTCTCGATAAAACATTTCCTGATTATTTACCTACGCCTAGTCTTTAGTCAAATAGGAAATAATGTTTTTGAAGTTCAGTTTTTTCCATATCCATAGTGATCAGTCAGTATGATACTTCATCACACGAGCCGACCCACTTTTTACAAAACACACAAAATAACTTTTAAATACAAAACACCTCTGTGCAGTTTGCGTCCCGGTAAAGGGACAGTTCACTCAAAAATGATATGTACTCACGAATTATTTGCCCTGTAAATAATAAGTGATTCCAAACCTTTAAGTTTCTTTATTCTATTGAACACTAAAGACTGTAAGCATTTGCTTTCATAGTAAGAAAACACTAATTAAATAGTTACAGTTTTCCAGCTTTATTTAATACATCTTTATTGTTTAGCAGAAAAAAAAGCTAAATAATTAAATCTTAAGTTTGGAACAAATAAAGGATGAGGCTAAATGGCAGAATTGTCAGTTTTGGGTGAGCTATCTCTATAAGTTAAAGTATATAAGTTGATGTTCATATGCCTAATTAATATAGATATCAGTAAAAAGGTCTGCTAGTCTAAATTTCTATTTTGATTGATCTTTTAATGTTTTATTTAAAACCCACTCTTTTCTTTGCTCAACAGGCTATTTTCACATGGAGGTAATCTTCTATTGATAATTTCTGGATTTTAAGTATGTGTAAGTTGCATAAAACTCTATTGCTTAACCACTCACTGTTGTTTTCAAATTACTCGTGTAACTTGTCTTTCAGAATGTTTTCAGCTGTTGAATTCACCTCAGATCAGTGTTGCTGTAATTCCCGATCTATGGAAAGAATAATTGAATGAGGTAAGAAGTATACTACTCTATTTACTATCATAATAAATGTAGTTATGTTACTTAAAACAGCATGTTCATAATGTGGAAAATAGATCATGCTTATGAAAAATTACTTTATTATTTTGTACAGCTGTTATTGAAATGACACTAAGTTTAACATTCCATTTACAGCGAGCAACGCCACAACTACAGGACCTCTTCTTTCTCTTCTCATAATTTAAGTAAGTATTGGGAGACTAACTCTGTTAACTCAAACCTGTTTTCCCTGTATCTCTAAATTTATTTAATTGTATGTGATTTTGGTATATGATATACTATTAAAGCATTAAAATAAAGTAGGCTACATAATTACTCACTGGAGATTTTATGTGTAATGAAATTAAAATAAATGTCTGAAACTTCAATAACTTGCTAGTCATAGTCGTTTCCATCTGTCCTCTCTTGTTCACTGCCTATTTTGACTTGTGTCTGCTGTGGATCTCTGAAGCTGGATTATCTGTTGAATTTGTTTTTTTCCTCTGACAGCTTTCTCCATACCAACAACTATGCCTGGTCTTCAGCTGCGCTCCCCGGTCTGCTGTATTCTCCAGTCCAGCTTCACTGCCCAGTGTCTGAATTTTAATTTATATATTTATTTATATATATATATTTACATTTTAATGATTTCTTGTTTACTTTTCTTGTTTGCTTACCCTTTAGTTTAATTATATATATATATATATATATATATATATATATATATATATATATATATATATATATATATATATAATCTAAACTTTATACTGTTTTTTTATAATTAGATGTGTACTGTATGTATTAAATGTTGTGAAATATATAATAAAAAGTTTGATTATATTCATTTGTGTGTTATTTTTACACTTTAAAGTTTACACATGCAGTTGTTAAATTAAATAGGAAAAATAAATGAACAATATTTCATATTAAGCAATACTGGAAAAGAATTGCTGCTTATCCTGTATTCTAGGCAGTATTGATAAACTGCCACAAAAAATATTAATACAAGTAGTAAGAACGCCGCCTCGCGGTTGCTGAATGTCGCACGACAACGTTGCTACAGCCTTCTCACGTCTTACATTTCTACGTTGTGACAATGTAGCGAACACGTAAGCGGCAACGTTGCCTTTGAAAAAATACAACGTTGTGCAGACATCGCTACAACGTAAATGTGTTTGTTGGGTAGGAATCTGAACTAATAAATAAGGAGAGAAACACAACGTTACCTGTTTACATATGAACACGGTAAAAGTCCGCTATTCCTGATCGCTTTCACAGAGGAATTGACAGTCAAGAGCCAGGATATAATGAAGAAAGGCAGGAGTTGTGTCGTGTTCGCTAAATAATCTCTCTAGAGTTGATAAAAGCTGAAGTGTAGCCTCTTTGTTTCTTCTCATCTTCAACACGAGTTTAATGTTGCTTGTTCTGAGCTTTTCCTCCAGCGCCTCCGCTATCAGTGTGCTGTGTACTACTGCCATCTAGAGGACAATCACAGCAACAGCGACTTACAGCGGTCACCGGGCGCCAGGAGGAAATCAGCTTCAGTAAATTAATCATATCAGAATCAATGTTCAGCAGACAATAAATACATTAAATAAATAAATGAAGATCCACCAACAAAAAAAAAATTAATACAACTTCTTGTTTTAGTTCAACTCCTCATAGGACAAACAAAACCAGTTTAATTGACAGCAGACACCACACATGAACTAATACTATAGTAAATAGTGAGCGGAGTGAAGCAGCAAGAGTTTCTACTGCTCCACACTCCATGTGTTTTGTATCCGGCTCACTCCACACTGTAGGCTAAACCCCGCTGTTGTCATTACTAAAGAAATTAAGTTAATATAATTGACATTACTTAAAATATCAAGTTTTGGCATCAAAACTGAAACAGAAGTGTTTAACTTACTTATTAGGCAGCAAAAACTTTTAATTAATCTTTTAAGTTCTCTAAATTTAACATTTTATTTTGTTTAAACGATTCATCACACTGTAAAAAGTGATTCGTTACTTAAAGCGAGTAAACCAATTGCCTCAAAAGCAACAAGTTGACTTCACAAAGATAATGTAAGTAAACCCATTGTAACTTGGAGCTGTTCAGTTGACTTCATTTGTGTAATTGACTTCTCGCTAAGCCACGCCCAAAAACCGCCACCCACCAATCATGGCTTAGCAACTGTAGCTACGCGCAGGGACTCTGTGAAGCTTTCGAGCTTGTGCATATGGATTGTGCAAATCTGATACCCGGTTTCCTTAAAGTTTGGACAAGGTGGTGGAATTTTTTCCCTTTTCAAAACCCAAAACCCAAGAGGAGAAATGCCAGCGTGGATCAAGCTCTGTGAGGGGCGCTAAAGGAGCGGAGATAAGTTGGTTTTGTTTTGATATTCCTGACACATTCAGTGATAGATGGCAATAACTTGCACTCCTCTTACCCTAAACAGATCTAAACTGTGTTTCCTACAAAAATGCAAAGCTGGTTATGTTTTAAAGCTGGTTATGTTTGTGAGTAATGCTCCATTTACGCCTTCGCCATAGCGTTAGTAGTTAGTCATACTAATAGCGAATAGGTCATAATGACATGAGTTATTGATCCGGAAATTACGAATCTGTTGCTAACTTTACTGAACTTCATATTTCCATCTGTTTCACGCTACGAATATTTGCAATTACAAATCAAGAGAACAAAACCGAGATATGATCACAAACTGAGCACTTATGATCAATATACTTTACCAGCAGCTGCTGTTCATTAATTTACAAAGAGCACACAAACATACTGACAGTAATGGGTAACTTACTGTACATTGTTCTGAGTCAGTAGCCCCTTTCACACATACAGACCTTTCCGGAAAATTACCGGCAATTTTCCGGAAAGGTGTGTATGTGTGAACAGGCCCTTTTTTAAAATACCGGTAAATTCGTTCTGGCTATTTTCCGGAAAGAGAAGTTGTAACATTACCGGTAATTTGCCGGAATGCTGCGCTGTGTGAACGCTGAAGGAAGATTTCCGGAAAGAGCGCGTCCACGTCTAGAACGGGCTGACGTGAGACACCTGCTTTAGCCAATCAGAACAGTCAGACGCATTCACGTGCGCACGGTTTATGAGAATAAAAGCCTTTGAATATTTTTTCCAGACACCTTTAGCTGCTAGATGTTAGTCAGATAACGTTTCTATGTTCCTTCTTAATGCTGTGTAAATAATTATCGATAAAATGTTTATGATAATCCGTTGTTTGTTTACCTTCAAGCTT